CCGCTATAAATAGCCATCGAAGGATTCAGTGCCTGCGCTGGGATGTGCTCAACGACAACCTGGACGTTAAGAATTCTATCCGACCGGACGCATTATTGGCACCATTTACCAGTGGACCAATTTAGCCGTTAACACATTTGTGCAATAGGATAACTTTATGTACTGAGGTGGGTTTGAACCAACGTCTATGTTACTGAAGGATATGTTCAGAATGTCCGCTGACGTTCTACTTGCAGTGCAGAAACCGCTTGATGCAGTTGGCCAGCACCTTCTCCACTGTATCTCACGTGATCGCGTGGCATTCATTCACAATATTTTCTTTCAGTTGGTCCTATGTGCGCAGCGTTGTTTTGTACACACATTGCTCCAGATAGCCCCATAGAAAAATATCCAGGGTCCAAAGCTGGTGAGCAAGTAGGCCACTCCATTGGTCCAATGCGTCCGATCCAACTGTGACCAAATTTGTTGGTGCGCTAAGCATGCACCGTTTTAGCAGCATGTGCAGATGCACCATCCTGCTGCCACCAAATGGTAATGCATATCCCTTCGGCCTCCAGCTGTGCACGCGTAAATATCTGGAGCATTTCCTACTACGAAGATGCTATGTAACGATAAGTCTTTAGTACTTCAAAACAACAAACTACCGTTCACATTCCCGGAAAAGATATATGGGCCCAAGATTTGCTGGATTGTTATTCTAGCCCAAACCATCAGTATGACGTCGTGTTGCATACGTGATGCCGTATGAGTTCATGGGTTACTGGTAGCCAAAAATATTGTTCCATTGTTCCATCTAGATGAAACTGGGTCTAATCTGTAAAGATGACACAATGACTATCCCCGTGACACAGAAACCAGCGGTCAAATTCATGCTGCTTCTCCGGCTCGCAGTGGTTCAGAACCTGCACTTAAAGTGCACAGAATAGTTGAAAATTTTATTCTTGTAATATCCGATGTACCGCCTATCAGTTCTTGTTACAATGCTGTGCGATCTGAAGAATGCTGTGATCAGGACATTACGATACTCCCTTTACCATAGCGACAGCTGTATCGTCGTCCGTGCTAATGCGAGACGATCTGGTTTTGTTCATGTCGCACACACTCCCAGTTTGCCCGAACTTTACTCTTTTATGCACGTACCAGTCGGTTGCAGGACGCATTCCTGCCTTAAGCGCATCGTATCTTCGTGAAGTTGATGCAGAGTTTTAACCACATTCACAACGCAACCGAATAATCAGCGAGCGCTAATTAACTGGAACGGTACGTGATCCCGATTGCAGTGTCTGTTCGGGCTCCAGCTTCTGAGGCAGTTATTCAATTAGCTTGACACTACGGGTGCTGGCTAATATCGCCCTTATCTAATTCAAAACACCCGATTCGCCGAGATACTATCACGTGCGCACATCCAAGCAGCAGTGGTGGCTGCGCGTTTCAGCTTACCTACGCCGACTTGAATGTGTATTGGACTGTTTCGTTTTCTCCAGTGAGGCACATAGATAAGCATTGAGCATTTCAGTGCCTACGGTTAGCCATGACCATCAGCACTCAGTGCAAGGTTATCTGACAGCTAAGGAGAGCCTGAAACGCGTTCTGACTCACTGTACTTAGCTCGCTTGACGACCAAAATAGGCTGATGTGGCCTGTTGGTTTGTTTTTCTTCAGCTTACACTTACAGTCAGCTGATCGCAGAGCTAAACCACTGGTTGGCCTTGAGTGTTATACGTCCTCACCATTAAGGTGAGAGAGCAATTCATATTTCTGCACGCGTGCACTATAGGCATTACGTATTTTGCTAAATTCGCTAGACATTGGATGGCTATTGGATGGTGGGACAACAACCCTACATGACAGGCACTCACAATAAGCGAGCCAGGGTAGGTCCATGAACCACACTTTCCATTCTGGAATGCGGTCATCCGTCCTCTTTCTCCGCAGGGCTTTACATAGAACACTTAGCATTAAATTTCCTAATGCGATTGGGACACCTGATTCTTGTTCGATCGTCTTTTTAACGTGCGGGACTTATATTCTGCTTTCTTTTCGGTCACCGTGGACTTGGCTTCTTTGTTTGCTCTTTACAGCGTTTGCGTCGTCTGCCCATCAGTCGATACCCTTGATTTCAATGGCTGAGCTTGCGTGGTATACTCTCTGCTCCCTGTGCTGTGTATTATCCCTTGCACTTCTGGTAGGGCACAGTGCACTTGGACAGGTCAAGCGGATGGTTCTTTCGCTCTAAATTTGCTCTTACATGTGAACATTTCTGCTGAGCGACCGAAAATTCCTTTGGCGGTTGAAAGCGTTGAGTAATGGATCATTGTATGCAGCTCATGGTTGATTTCGTTTGCGACCACAAATTTTGCTGTTTGGCTCGGTTTTCAGAACATTGCGTGCGTGCGTTTCAGAGGGAAGGGCGTGCAAAATTCAATGTGTTGGTAAAATGTGATCCACATATCTATATCCGAAAGATGGAATTCGCTAAACAGCGCTGGTTAGGCTGAAGCTGCTGCCGCGTAGCCCAAGTGTGTGTGATGAGATTTGGGACGGTTAATCCGATCTAAATACGAGGCCTGGGAGAATGGGATCGCACAGCAGTGTCTGTCGGACACATCCGGAAATATGCCTATCCCACTATCTTCTTGTTAGGGAGCTGGCTACTTAACCCTCAGTTTCATGAACTATGTTAGTTGCCTATTTCTTTGTTTGCGCAGTTATCTGCTTCTCTGCTGCATGTTGGACACGCCGCTTTCCTCAGCCTCATTCGCAATCGCTCACAGCTAATTTCAGCCGTCTCATTCTGTGGACATTCTGATTGGTTTCTTTTGCTCAGCTTCCCTTAGCTTTTTCACGTGTATGTATTATTCAGCCGACACATATTTATTATACCTGTTTTTATTTCCCTGGTGTGTATCATTCTCACTATCAACTGTTCTGGCATTTGTTTAAACGCATCACTTCCCACACTGATTGGACGCTACTCGTCGTTTTTAATGGTCGCTCACCAGAAGGTTACCCCCACGGATTAACTCCGCAGACACTATTTTCTTTGCCGCACTTCATTGGCTCGTAATTTTCGCGCTTCTCATTTGCTTGTTCCATTTTGTGTTTTCTCCATGCCTGTTGGACCTCATGCGTTTAGTAGCTTGGCTTCGCCCTTGTTTGTAAAGCTATATAAATGGTGCCGTGCTGTAATAGAAAAGCTGTTCATCCCGGCTCATCTTGGACTTCTTCTTGCGGTCGTGGGGTGAAGGCGTACTCGGCGTCACAACACTTCTATATGCAGGTGGTATGCCTATAAACGTCTCGTCTTAACAACGTCTGTGAATTTCATTGTCACTCAAATTAGCGGGGATTCACCGTAGCGTTTGGAGTCTAGATGTCTGGTGTTACACGTTAATTTAGTCGGCGTCTCCCGAACACTGATCCAATTATAAAGGAAGGCCCACTGCTGCAGAACGTCTTGCTTTATGCCCCTTAATGAGTTTGTTTTTTACTCAGGAACTTTGGTAGGTATGAGTGTCAGGGCGCCGTAGTTTCGCCTTGTCTTCGGTGATGTGGAATACCGGGTGGTCGCTGGCTTTGCCGAGATCCCCGCATCTAGTTTTTGACGCTTGGTGTGGCTGCAATGCCTAAAGAAATTGGAGTCACACCTTGAATACATCCAGCGGTAGGTGTTGTATAAGTGGAGCAACATTGTTAAGATTAGGTTTCTGTCCATCAGCCGGAAGTATAGGCGTTACCGAGACCACTTCAGTCAGTACACTAGAAGCCACTGTTAGATGTTTGAAGTTGAGGTCGTAAGTACGAACAATTCAAACTTGTTAACTGCGCTTCCTAGTCTACTGGTGGAAAGTATAGATTCCGAGTCCCATCCAAGGAGACCATTTGTCGACATGTCAGCTGCTAAGAAACTACGCACCTAAATCAGAGATTGGGAGACTGAAGCAGCATATGGAGGAGCAAATAATGGATAGACCTATAGGCAACACACCAAGTGTCCAGTTGCATGTTGGAGAAGGTAAACTCAAAACGTTGGGTGTGAACCTACTAATGACAAGAGCTTATCACGATGAGTAGCCAAACATTTTCATCCTCTCCACTGGCTTGCAGTGTCGTTTCTCCATGCTTTTGTTTTGATCTGAAATTTATACACTGTGCATCAGGCAAACTCACGAATTAGCCACCGTCGGTTCGGCGATAGTTCAACAGAGGAAAAATAGGTAGTGCTCACCGGTTCCTGGAAAACCCCAACCTGGGTGTGTTACGAAGGTTACATTCCCCTTTGAAATATACAAGGGTCATTGAGTTATACATCAAATCGATTAATTTAAATTGCTTTCCGGCACTCTGTTAGCTCTCGAAAATACTCTCATGTACCTATAGTCTAGACTAATTACCCATAGTCTCAACTCATATTTCGCGAGACAATTCTATTATTCCGGACAGGAACAACAAATTTTCTTGCAAGGATAACGAGGAGATTAATACAGATTACAAATATTTTTGTTGCGCAACTTGCTTGCAAATTGTGCTGCTCGGTGAGCATCGCAGCAAACAAAAACTTAATCAGAGCTAGCTGTGCTCTCCAAGTTTGAGCATTGCGTGTTACTTTACGAAAATTACAATTAATTCAGACGGTTGCCATTTACCTTTTTTCTGCACTTAACGCCGTCACTATACCTAATTAACCTTTCATTTATTTTTGCCATCTTCAATCGTTTTGTGTGTCAAAGTTATCTCATCCATTAATGGACGTATAAATAGGAACCATGGAAGTTTTAGATGGCACTTCCTCTACATCAACAGAATTTGCTCAGTGATGTCGTTCACGACAAAAACAAACTTGTTCAGAACGCAAACTATGAAGGCTATTAAGAATTCAATCCAAACATCATGACATGCCCATAATTAGTGGGTTGCGTCCCGTATTGTTTAGAGATATAACACTTAAACTCGGAAAAGCAAACTGGATAAGCCCACATATCAAGACGCACGCACGATGCTCAATAAACATACCTGTTCCAGTGGTTAATCGCTTTGAGTAGAGATTCATAAATAACTGGGATTATCTCCCTTGCGTTTTCTGTCATCATGGAGAGCAAACGCTCGTTGTTCCAGAAAAGCAGGGCCCGCTCTGAGACCTAAAACGTCAAAGTTTACAACGTGATTGCACCGTTTGGGGCTGTCTATTTATTAACAAACACACGGAGACGCAGTAGCTTCTGTGAGCAATAGTTATTTATGATACCTATTAGGTTTGAAACGAAGACATAACGCCTAACGCCACTGCTGGGAATTGAGAAGTAATAAATATCCAATAAAATTCTCACATTGTACTCATGGTTGATGGCACCAGATATATGTCCAGCGACAGCGTTAGTACTCTATCGTATGTTCATTCGCGTGTGGGATGTAGAGCGGGGCACATTGTAGTTCCATTACGGAACGTTAGAAAGTAACGAGTTCACAGTGCAAAGTAAAATCTTGTTTGCCTTTGTATTTCCATTTTAGCAAACATTAAACCCTATCTAATTGTGAACTCATCATAACCTTCATAACGTGCATGGAAGTGGAGGATAAGAGGTCCTGCCTCGCAATTACCCTGTAAATCATAACGGTCAGAAGCTGTCCCCCGTAGCTTAGCGGTACAAACTGCTCACTGGTGGCGCAAGCCACAGTTGGTCATGGGTTCAAATCCTGATGGATCCGATAGATGCGCATTACTGATGATGCCCAACAGGCTGAAACCGCAGTCGTGCTTTTCCGTACATGTGGTTTGGAAGCTGATGAATGGAACAGAAAGTTACGTTCATCAAAATGCCCCTACTCCAGTGTACCTCAAAATATCCGCCGTAGCAATTTCTAAACGCTATGTCGTGTAGATGACGTGTTTCTGAGGCCAACTCTGCCCTCTACAACGTTCATAACTTGCATGGCAGTTGAGGGTAATACCTACTACATCGCACTCAGCTCGTAAATCAAATTGGCCAGTCGATATCCCCGGTTTCCCAGTGGGATGGTGGAACAATGGGAAAATGGTGCATGACGGGTAGAAAAGCAGGTGCGCAACAAGTCCCGAAGGATGGCCAGAATGAGAACCACAAATGGTGAAACGAAAACAAAAGAGGAAAAGGAAAATCGTTTTGGTGAACTAACCACAGCGTTTGCACAGAGACATGCAGCAAAGAGACATTCTCACTTTTTTAAATTGGGGCTGGTTGTGCAACTTTGGTCAAGTTATATCGTCTATCGATAAATGCAGACTGTTTCTCGTAATCTCAATGCGTTTTTAAGACCAGATAAAAAGCGGGCGGAAACCACGCCATTTGAAAAGGCGTTCCATGGCTGGCACACATGAAGAGAGTAAAAGTCTCACCGACATACTAGCGGACTGTATTTCGTGGCCAAATTGATCTGGTGGCTCCCCAGAACCGCGTTTTGACTGAATTACCGTAGGTGGCGGCATATATGGTTAGGGTTACGCAAATCTGGTAGGCCATTATTAGCTCGCTACTTAGACCCTGGTATTGACCACGGTACAACCTTAAAGCCCTCATCATAAGTTGATTTGGAAGGAGAAACAACCCTTTGACGTGTTTTGTGGCTCTTCGCTGTAGAGTCTTGCGCGCTGCGAGAACATGTTTGTACCATAGCTGCCTGGGCTGGAATCCCCACTCCACATGCGGCCGCAGGTACGTGTTTAACAACTGATAGCAGAAAAAAGGATCAAACTATACGAATGCCCCCCCCCGCAGCATGCCAACCTGTCAGTTTCCAGTATTTGGCGCATTCGCAGCTTTTTCAACCTAGCCCAACTAAGCCAGGAGTAATACCCCGAGGTTGTGTTCCTAGGTGAATGCTTGCAGGACATGGTCACCAAGCTTTTTTTGATGTTCGGCTTGTGACAAGTGTGGGCCACCGTACAATTAGACGAATTAAATCGGGGCAGATTGTAGAGTAACTATTCATATGCCCTGTCCCGATCCTGCTGAAGTGAATCGTGATCCCTTTGGTTGGCAATCGCCCGACGCCTCTCAACACCACCGGCGAAAAGTAAGAAATCAGAGGAAATCAGAGGCGTAAACGCACTAATGTACACGAGCAACATCCGCGGTCCCAAAACTAATCCTTGTAGAACTCCGTACTTGATGTGAATCGGATCCTACAAGGCACTCCGAATTCTAACATGCAGTTGCCAATTCTAAAGGAGCTTCCTGATGCAACTAAAGACAACATTCCCAACTCTACAGCTTTTGACATTGTGAAGCAAAATGCTGTGATCCAGTGGCTTGAACGGTTTGGAAAAGTCGTGGTAAATGACCTCGGTCCCCCTACCGTTGTAGGCCCATTCGGTCCAACTACTATGTGCAGTCATTTGGTTTGATGTGCATGAACGGGGTTGGCGAAAACCGTGCTGCTCAGTGTCATGATGTTGTGGCATGCCAGATGGCCCCCCATAGCACCGGCCAAGATTTCCTCCTTTACCTTTGTGAGAACAGGGAGGAGGGCCACTGGGCATTAGTTCACGGTTTCCGAGAGCCTGCCACTTTGAAAATTGGCGTACTTAGAACACGTTTACACATGGTAGGTAAAGTTTGCTCATCAAACAGATTTGGAAGAAATGCAATCATAACTCGGCCAGCGTTGTTGTTGTTGCTGTTACATTCAGCACCCTCGGGAAAATGTCCTTCATTACGGGAGAACTGTGGATGTGCATTGAGAGCATATTTTCAACACAGATGTTGCAGAAAAAGTGGTCTTGACAAGTGCTGCAATTAGGCTTATGGATGTAATTATGTAACAGTGAAATAGGTTCCACTGGTGGTCATAAATTCAAATCCTGATGGATCCCATGGACGCGCAATACGGACGAGAGCAAGTAGATCGAAACGGCAGTCTAGTGCCTTGTTGGACATGTGTACTACTATCTGATTTGGAAGCTGATACAATGAACTATCAGCTGGTTACCTAAAATATTCGCCTTCTCTGGAGTAAATAAAATTCCAGCTTGGTTCGTCTTTGCTGTAGTTTCAGCTTTGAAACAATCTTATTGTTTGTTCGTTATAATCCCAGGCTAAGTTTCATGCGTTAAATTTGCAGTGAACTCCCCTGTCTCATAGCCTACTAACGAGAAAATCTTCGGTGGACTATCACTAAACTACTAACCGCTAACTACCTGTTACCTAGGACGTGCAATTTGTTTACAGCTCTCGCTTTCCTTGTATTCTGGATCTGGCCTTTCCCTATGTTCAGTGTCGACTCGCATACTTGTATCTATGTACACGGTGCTGTTAGGTCTCTGCTAATGTAAGTTCCACTTTATCTGTCCCGTGTCGTCTCCTGCTTGGATCTGCAAATATTTTGCCGCCTATTCCTTGATGATCATGGTCAAGGGCATTTTCTGTTGGTTAACACACCATCGCTACTTGAAGTATTAGTTTACAACCGAAGATTTACCCGTCCAGCAGTTGGTATCCGTTCGCAAATCGCTTTTGCTTGAACTTACAACGTTTGCCATTGAGAAAATCTCATCCAATGCAAAAGAAAATAGCCCAAAGAGATCTGCTGTCGAATGAAGCAAATAGTGGAAATCTATCGAAATATGTGCAAACAAGGTGACCAGTCAGCCAGTGTCATCACTAATAATTTTCCCCATTTTCACATTGGTTGACTTGAGCCACCACAGCATACCCGCTTTTTTGTCCAAGTAGCCGTGTACTACTATAGTCATATGTCATGCAATAACGCGCCACTCCTCCATAACCCTAAGTTAACACAAAACTTTCTCTATCCACTACACTTAAAATAACATAGATAAAGTTCAGATTAAAATTAAATGTAAGGACTGTGCACATGTGTATATAGGCCAAACAGCGAGAGAATTACGCACACTATTTTCAGACCATAGGAGGCGCATTTCAAGACTACCAAGAAACGAGTTTAAATACCAGGCACTAGTAAGAGACTCCGCCGTAGCTGTGCATGCATTAGACACAGGACACCAGATAGACCTCGAAAACATAGAGGTCAATAGGAGGGGTATACCATCAACACCTCAGCGGTTGATTGACGAGGTGGTGGAAATTGCTAAATCTGACGACTGCGTGAATAGAACGGAGGAGGTAGAACTCCCTAATGCCTGGCGGGCGGTCTTAAGCCAGCCAGTTTGACGAGCATCGGTGCGTGGATCAGATTAGAAAGTGCAAATCGACTCCCACTGTCAACAATATGGGCTTTTCCGTCATTGTCATGACGCACAAAGGAACCCCTGGACTATTCCCACTGTGATCAAACCACCTGAGGTGACATCACGAACTGTTATTGTAAGGACATCATGGCTCAAGTCTCGGGTAAAGCGAGTATCGTTCTTGTTCGCTATAAATGCCCACACCAATTGCACACTGATTCACCTGGTCTGACGAAGCCTTTGTGTCGAGGGCGAAACGTTACCAAACTACTATACCAAACGATTGTTTCCAAACCTCTCAGAACTCATGACTACTCGATCGGTTCCAAGTATCGTACAAAAATTTGAGACCTAGATAAAGCTTTATTTTCAAAAAGAAAGTTGGTAAGTCGCTGTACAGTAAAATTAACTCGTCACTTGCTCAGACCACTGAGCATTGTCGCATTGTCACGTTGTCGACAAATGTACCACTGATTTATAATTAGGCTGTGTTTACCCGTGGTTAAAAGGATATGGTGGGTCACTAAAATTTGACTAATCGAGTTTTATTAATTACATGACGCTCAGTCGGTCATGTTCAATTTCTTACTGACCATCACAGGAAGCTTCGCTGCCAGTGGGGAATAGTCCGTTGGCCAACCACTGCTGATACTGCACCCCGTTTGCTGCACGCAACTAGGTTTGGCAGTTAATTCCTACTGCCCTATCGAAGCCTTGATTTGGTGAGCGCCAACATTTTATTGCTTCAGCTTTTTATCCCATATGGGGATAAAGGAATAGGAATTCCTCGATTCTTTGGTTTGCAATAGGCGGTTCTGTTGACTAAGAACACTAAAAGTGATACGGATTAGCAAAATGTCTGGTGGGCGAACCTTTATTCCCAGGATTTTCCCTGCTGTGCATCTCCCATTAGCCTTAACAAGCTTCTGACTATAAACCCTTCACATCGAAATT